ATTGATGAAGTTTGGACATTTGATGCGTTTCGGCGTTGATTAGCGATTTATTTCATTCAAATTCAATTCCGATTCATAAAGAAGGAGTTTTACGGTTTGTTGTTCCCGTAAATACTGGAGACAACGAGAGAACGCTGCTAGTTTCGGGTCGGTTAAAACCGCATGCATTTGTTTACACAATTTATGGGCAGTCAGTCTATTTATGTGAAGAAGCGGTTCGTCATTTTTTATAATAAATTTACGCAGAAGCAAGTAACCAACGTGGCATGAGAAGTTTAACGCGTGTTTGTTTGATTACGGGAGTACACTTAAGGTTTTCTTCCTATTGAAAGTTAAAAGTTCCATTCGATTTATTATTTTATTTGTCAACCGCATGCGTGCGGGGTAATATGTCCAAACAATCTTGGTGAGCTTTTTTTTTCTTTTAGGGAGTTTGTTTTAATTTTGTTTCATTATTTTTCAGAATAAATTGTCAATCAATTAGATCCATTGTGCGACCCAGATACAGTTTTTATGTCAAACTTTTTCTACTCGTGCCAAAATTATTTCACGTGTTAAAGTTGTGTAATAAATTCTTTGACATTTTTGAAAGTTTATTGGGGCCACCGAGTCTGTCAAATTGTAGTAAAGTCAATATTAGGATTTCTCTTTTATCAGACGCCGAAGAGGAGAGATTATAAAATTCTAAGCTTTGATTTGTTTTGAACTAGCTATAACTATTAGGCTAAATATTATAAATATGATATGCCGACCTTCGCGACGTTTGCTTTTTGTTTGCTATATAAATAAATTGAATTGTGTTTAATCTTAGTCTTAACATCTATGCAACTAAGTGATATGCACTGTGTCCAAGATAAAAATGTTTATCATGGGAATCTCGGAAACCATAGAAGATACGACGATAGTCAAATTAGGGCAGTGTTGCGCAATTAAAGGGCTATCAATATTCAGTCAATAAAACCTGAAAATTTCGATTATTTCCGAAAATATGCGAGAAAAACCGAAATTTGTCGATTTTGTTATTTTTTCTAATGCTATTTGAACATATATACAGAAAAATTAGAAACAATTTCTCATTGCCACTCTTTGAGCTCTACAAGACAGCGTTGAGAGATTTTCAATACATTTCTTTTTTGGAAAAATATCGCCAAGTTTATTTTTTTATATGGCACGGTACGAAAAAAACAAAAGTTGAAAACTGTTGGTTTCAACAGGATGGCGTACCCGCGCACAACGCCCTAATAGTGTGCGAATATCTATCGTATAAATACCCTGGAAAATAGAAAAATTTATTCAATATGTATTTTCGCACGATTATAGCGTTGTGCGCGGGAGCACCATGTTGTTGAAACCGACAGTTTTTTAGCGCATTTTTGCAAAAAATTTTTTTTGTAAAAAGTAGCTTTTAATCTCACTTTGGCTGGCTGGCTGGCTGGCTGGCTGGCTGGCTGGCTGGCTGGCTGGCAGTAAATGCGCGCCCGTAGAAAAACGCTTGTAAAAAGACAAGGAGTGTACATGTAACTATCGGGGCCGTGTAATTAAGAACGTTAGGGATGGGGCTACAAGATTTGGAGTCGACGACATCTGGACGCCATCCCCGAGCGTATTATACTAACCTGGAGATTTTTCAGTTTTTATCTTTCTTCTTCTACAGTTTTTCTCCGATTGTTTTCAAATTGGTGTAGTCGGGAAGATCTTGTCAACGCGCACAACTCCTGCGTGGCGGAATTTTGTTTTTTTTTCCTAGGGGCGAAATAAACCACCTTTTGCGCGGCGCGCTTCGAGGGGTAGTCGACTTTGGGCGCCCAAAAGTTTCTTACAGCGCGAATCGCGGTCTCTCTTTTTCGTGTCACTAATAGAAGGTCGAGCTATGTGAAGTACCCAAAAGTTGAATACGATTTTATGCCGGGATTTTAGCGAAATCTACCAAAATGTGAATTACGAATGAACGGGACGTCGGAACTGTGTATCGACAAAGGGAATGTGGTAACCCCCAAAGGATTTTACTGATGGTGGAGTCAAAACTTCAAACGCGAATTGCAAGTGCACGGTAAGTGAGAAAATGGTACCGACAAAGTGAACGTGGTAGCTTTCGGCAAGATCTTATTGATGGTGGAGTCAATATTGGCTAATAAAACACTGATCTGCCACACAAAAATGCGCTGAAGTCCCTTCGATCTCACACGAGGACTTTGATCATTTTTTTTTGTAGAGTACAGCGTTGTATTCGTAATAAGAAATGCTATTCGACACAGTATCTACTTTTTTTGCGGGCCATATAAGAAGCTTAATTTGATGATTTCTGCGAAACGGTACGTTAACTGTTCGGTCGGTCGGTCGGTCGGCTGCATATAACTGTCGAAGAATCATCGTAGAATGATCGGGTTTGGACGCATCGAGTACTTTTCAACTTGTTTTATAACCTGAAGTGTGTGGTGATCTTAGGGGTTCCAGATCCGGCACTGCAATTTTGACTTACCCTGTACTAACAGTTGACAACTCTCGGGAAAATTACAAGCAGTGAGATCTTACTTCTATGTCGGAATGACAGATCTTTCGCGCCACCTTTTCAACATCTCAAATTTAATGAGAGATCAGGTATTGAAGGTAAAAAAGTTAAACAATATAACGGTTGGCAGGGTTGGCGCTGCATTTCCTCAAACCCGGCTAACTAGCTCAGGGTTAAAACACAAAAAAAGAGCTTGAAATCTTCCACAGCGGCAGTTAGTTCTGCGCATATGACCGTCTTAATTTTGTTGCACAAATAAAAAATGAAATTGTTTCCACAATTGGATAACATATAGCGCAAATACATAATATTCCCCCAAGTATTCAAAATTATAACTTACGCTACTCACAGCTCTTAGTAACTTTACTGTGCAACTGAAATTTCTAGAAAACTCCCAATTAGCTTCCCCCAAAAGAATAAATCCCAAGTCAATAATGATCGATTAAACTGATTACTGAATCTTAAAGCAACTTTCCACAAATAAATTGCTATTGGCCAACTCCTTGAGAAGGAAGTGGTGGTCTCCAACAACGCTCGCGTTTAAAACTCGATCATAACTTAACCGAGATGACAAAGATACTGAGTAGGTACCTACTGATGCTCACAAATTACTTAAATGTAATCGCATATAACCCTGAAGAGGCAAAATAGTTATCAACTAAGACGCTAGAGTTACAGAAGTTGTCCCTTAGGAGAGTCGATCCTTGATATTAAAATCTTCTTCGAATCGTGCTAATCGTAAATGAAGCAACAATTGTAGATGGAAATTGCAGTACAACAAATTACAACCGAAACCTAAAAAAGGTACACTCTAAATAAACGAAATACACATGGCCGTAGTGAAAATAAAAGACGTAGAACGCAAATGTATATCCCCAATAGGAGCATAGACGAATCCTGTCCAATCTATTACTTCGGAAATTTCCAAGTTATAATCCAATCGGCAGATATCAATATATTGGGAATATGGCAATTAGAATTCGATGCGTTCTACCTCACGCTTTCAGCTGTTTGTTTAATTAACATGTACCTCAATACGGCTTACGAAGAAAAAAAGAAAGATGAGAATCGAAATCCAAAAATCAAGGCGTTGCCAATCTGCGCGGCAAAATTGGGTGGTTAAATTCCATCAATAGATACCGTAAACAATAATAATGTTTCGAAATGGAGAAAATTACAACAAATTAATAAAAACAAAATATAAATGACACCATAAATGCAAAATGAAGAGCAAGAGTGGCCAACATAATTTAATGGGAAATTAAAGGCACTATGGTTAAATTAATGCAAAAACATCTCAAAACTAGTAATAAATCGCATGTATTTTAAAAAACATCAAAATACCCATGCCTCTTTGCTCCAGAGTCACGGCACCGGGCTGCAGCTGGTAAGCGACTGCACGACTCAAAACCAAAAATCAAATCTCCCGCCAAAACTAACTGAAACTCATGGAGCATGATCGTCAAGTAACAAACCTGTCTAGTGGTAGGACCGAGTCACTCGGAGGATCGGCCAACATAAATATAACGCAAGAAATGGGGAGAGTGAAATGTAATAAAAATTAAAACAAAAACAATCAAATCCAAATTCAAATCAGGGTTGCCCTCTCTTAATTACACGAGAGTAGCTCTAGGGACTTCTTTGAAAACCTTCCAGGAAATGTACTCAGTCTCTTTCTTACTTTTTTACCATTTGCTGTTTACAATTTCACATTACAATAGGTTTCAGCCTGTACGACGACATCGGGAAAAAAGAACATTATTATGGCAATTTGAACACATTTTTACATAGAAAATTGACCCAACAAGTTCTTTTGAGACAAATTAGCTAATATTAAGAGTAAATATAAAATATGGTCTGATATTAAGGGTAACATGCAAATATAGCACTGATTCATTTGAAAATAATCAAAACGTATTTGGTTTCATTACACTTTGAGTTGTATTTGCAAAACATTTTAAAAACGAAAGCTTTTTACTGATTGAATAAAACATTTTTGCAAAAATATTTACAGCGCGACGCCTAAGGGCGTTTAATTATACATGAAACAAAATGCATGTAAAATGCAAACGTTAATTAGTTTTCAGCTTCTAATAAGTACTTTACCTAACCAAAAGATTCTCGCCGACTCTTTGTACGCGATGCATTCTTTATTATTTTAAAATAAGTGAAAACTAATTCATTAAACTAAGGATTATGTCCCTAACATTATTGCCGTATTTAAAAGCATTTAACAAGCACCAACGTGGTTTCAGAAGCCATACTGTAAAGATTAAGCTAATCGATGTAAGCCTTATAAGGGCGGATTGAACAGTGCTGACAGCGACACGAAACACAAATCGTTGGAAACAATAAAAATACTTTTTCTTTCATCTTCTTTACCGGGATTTAACTTCATTGGTTTCCTTCTTATAAAAGAGCGAAGTTTGGTAAAGCCACTTTAGGGCGCTTTAAAATTATTTAATTAACGGCGATTTCCTTTTAATTACAGGTGCCGTTAATAATGAAGATCAATCACCTCCTCTATCACCGCGCGATCCTCACAATACTCAATCTTCCGACTCGGCACGTTCGCCACGTCCGACTTCCCCAATGGAAAGTCACAGATCCCCCAGAAGCAGTCCGCACCATTCGAACGTGATAACATCGACACATCCGGTCTTTTTAGATCAAACGTACTTAAATATAACGCACGCGAAAAGTCCCTACAGAGAGAGTGAAAATATGACAATAGACGAGGAAATCGAAGAGGAAGAAAGCGACTACGATAACGATAAAGATAAAAAAATACAAAACTCGAGCAGTTTAAGTCCGGGAAATTCCCTGGCGAATAAACGTAAAAAGAAAACGCGAACGGTGTTTTCGCGATCGCAAGTATTTCAGCTGGAATCAACGTTTGATATGAAAAGGTACTTATCATCGTCGGAACGTGCGGGGCTCGCCGCAAGCCTGCACCTAACCGAAACGCAAGTAAAGATATGGTTTCAAAATCGGCGAAATAAGTGGAAGCGTCAACTGGCGGCAGAACTGGAGGCGGCAAATATGGCTCATGCCGCCCAACGACTTGTACGCGTTCCGATTTTGTACCACGAGTCCGCGAATGCGTCGATGCGACATCCGTTTGAGCAAAACCACGCTTTGGCATTGCACCATCCGCTCGAAGGTTCCAGAGACGCGGCGAGTTCGGCGGCGAATTCCGTCGTCAGTTCACCAACTGGTTACCCCGGTTCGCTGTATTACCATCACCAGGCTGCCGTAGCAGCAGCGGCCGTCCATAGTTTACCATCCAGTCCGGTCAATCGTCCTCCGATGTCGGGACTTGTATGAGATCAATAAATAACGCGACGAAACAAAGTACGGCTCAACCTAATTTTTGGTGCAATATTTTAAATTTCCTTTTAAGGAGCTGTACGTCACGCTGCTGTAAATATGTAATGCATTACTGTAGTTAGATTAATTTATGTATCATTGTAAATATGAATGTAAAAATTTGTAAAACAAAAAGATCTCTCAGTACTATCACGTTTAGGACGTGTATATGTGTAGCAAAGTTGCGAGAATTTGTTGTTACTGTGAATAAATGGTATATTATAAAGCATCTCTTGCTGTTGTATTGACTTTTCCATTATAAAACGGACACAAATTCGCCCACAAAAGCTAAATATTGTCAACCAATTGATGTTATCGTGCACTTATCAAATCTTTAAAATGATCGAGGATAGCTTTTAATGTGAGTTTAACTTTAATCACGGCCCTTTAGAACATCTGGTACCTTTAGAATACAATACTAGACTGAAAGGATGGGCGTTTTGCACCAGTCATTTTAATAAGGGTTGAGTCGAATTACACATACAACCCCTCTCGAAGGGCTCCCTTTTTTGTCCTGAAAACATTTTCATTGTATTCAGATTTTATGTAGATCAAAATGCCTATCAAGATTTTATTGTACATAATGAAAATTGCCTTTTTGCTATTATTTGAGTTCTTAAGTGAGAGCGCAAATGTTATCCGATAAGTGTGTCTTCAACGTGCAGTTAATATGAAAGTAATTTTTAAAAAATCATCAAAGTAATTTAATCATATTAATTTACAAGCCGAAAAACACTATGTTTATCAAATTCAGAATTCGTCTAGCGCACACTTTTGCTGTAACACACCGTGTCAAGTCAAACTCGAAAGAGTACAAAATTTAGATTCCGAGTTTTTGTGCACTAGCGTAATTTGTTTTGCAATTTTCACAACAAAATTGATTCATAAACGAGTTTGGACGTCATTTCGAAGTTGTTCTTCTGCGTTTTTTCTTGCTACAGGAATGAGTCACCCACCAAATGAGACTTTTACAGCCTTTTTACGGCTTTCCAGTAAGTTTTTTGCACAGACTAACAGATTGACCAAACAGGAAAAATTTAATACATAGTTGAACAACAAATCTAAAAGATGAAAAAAATTCTGGCATGCAAACAAGTAATTTAGTGTATAATCCATAATCCATCGCTATGGGCTCCAATTATGCTTTAATTAGAAGTACCTATTGATAAAAGTTTCATCAATATAGCAACACCACCACGAAGGAGGACTGCATCCAATTCTAGACAAAGGCAGAAGGGTAAAATTTCAGTAAAATGTCTTGACATTTCAATTGATCCTATGCATTCTGCGCATGCACGCATTGACGTCAACATGGACGTTATGCCTTTACTGGGCGAACTTATGGGGAATGTGGATTCTGTGCGCCCTCAGCATGCGTAAGGTAAATTTGTCACTTCATTCTTGCCTTTACTAGAAGCATTCATAGCTAAAATTCCCCAGAAAGTGTTTTCACCAGTAGGAGAGTTGATCCTTGTAACGGCTTAGTTACATTTACAGAGGTTAGAAGCCCCACTCGTAGAAATTGAATTTTAATTTCTACGACACTGGCAAAATTTTATCGTTACAATTAATTTCTTGTAATGAAATACTAATACCACGGCTAGCTCAGTAATAAATAAAGTTTTAATGATTCTTACCTTACGGAAAACTGGGCCTTAAATATTAATGTAATTCATTCAACGAATATAATTTAAAATTTCAGGTCTATCACGTTTTATCCAGTTTTTTTTCTATTTTTAACTACAGCCGGTACATTTTAACCCAAACAAATCAATGGTACCAATGACCTTAAAAATTCTTCACAATTAATGATCCTTTTGAAAGGACATTCAGAAAATTGGATGGTGGAAAGTTTGTCCAATACAATCGGACCTTTGTATTGCCTTGTTCGTTGAAAATGCATCCGGAACAAACTTTAATATGGGAACTTTTTTATTCATTGGAATAATTGACCAATGTTCCGGAGTAGGAAAATGTCCAAAAAAAATTTCCCTTATAACTTACCTAAGGTTTAACGTTAGCCAAAGCACGAGTTGTCTTTAAGTTCACCGGTTACCGTTTAAGGTAAAATCTATGAACACCCCGTACACATAAGAAACCTGTTTTTAGCGCATTTCCACAAAAATAAAAAAAATGCGCTATTGTGGTCACTTTGTCAGTCCGTCCATCCGTCCGTCCGCTCGTTTTGCGACGCTACTAGTTCTTTATCTTAAGAGCTATTGTTCTACTTCTTTCGCTATTTGGTTCGTTATGGTATCGAGTCTTGTACCAAGGAAGGAATTTTTTCTGTACCGCTTACAAAAAAAGTTATTGTAAAAAAACAAAAAACCGTTTTTTACATGTTCCATAATTTTACCCTTTTGCCGTTTATTAACGATCCTAGAGATCGTTTATAATTTTGCATTGCTATCTGTCGCCTGCCGGTTGGTCTCTCCGTCTGTTCCTTTGTCTGCCTGTCCATCTATCTGTCCGTGTGAACGATAACTTTGTTTAGAAATGTTCGATCGCTTTTACATCTCCGTTAGTTATGAACTGAATTGCATGAAATTCAATATGGGCATAGCCTTAGCCATATAATACGCAATGCCAAAAGTTGAATCGAATCGATTCAAAATTCACAGTGCCCTTTTCGCATCTCGACCATTTATAAACCGAATTACAAACTTTTTTACTTATAAAAGCATTTGAATGAAATTTGATACATAGGCACTTGGAATAAAGGAAAATCAAACTCCAATTTCAAAACTTGGTTTTGAACATGCGCAGTGCCAACTTTTTTATTTATGGAAGAATTTAAACGAAATTTGATACATAGGCACGTGGGATAAAGGAAAATCAAACGCAAATTTTAAAATTTGGTTTTGCGCATGCGCAGTGCCAACTTTTTTATTTATGGAAGAATTTAAATAAAATTTGATACATAGGCACATGGAATAAAGGAAAATAACGCCCGTTTTAAAATTTGGTTTTGCGCATGCGCAGTGCCAACTTTTTTATTTATGGAAGAATTTAAACGAAATTTGATAGGCACTTGGGATAAAGGAAAATCAAACGCCAGTTTTAAAATCTGGTTTTGCGTATGCGCAGTGCAAACTTTTTTATTTATGGAAGAATTTAAATGAAATGTGATACATAGGCACTTGGATTAAAGGAAAATCTAGCGCCAGTTTCAAAATTTTATTTTGCGCATGCGCAGTGCCAACTTTTTTATCTATGGAAGCATTTAAGTGAAATTTGATATTTAGGCGCTTGGAACAAGGAAAATCTAACATTAGTTTCAAAATTTAGGTTTGCGCATGCGCAGTTCCAACTTTCTTATTTAGAAAAGCATTGAAATGAAATTCTTCTCATAAACTGAAATTGAAGTAGCACGTCAAAAATGGATTCCCATGTTGAACGCTATCTTTCATATTTGTGGCCGGATTTTTACGATTTTAACAGAAGTTGCATCTTATAAATGGGAAATGAATGCAAGTGGAAATGCGCTTTATGTAAATCGTTTACGATTACTTTTTAACTTGTTAATAGTAGTCCAGGTTATATAATATTTTGTGACAAAAAAAATTAGTTACCGGGTGAAACCGGGTTTTTCAGGCAGGTGAAATGAATAGAAATTGGGAAAAAATAATTAAAACAGCTGAATTTTTCCGCGGTTCAAATCACGGGGGTTGAAAGGGGTGGAAAGTGGTGTTTTGCAAATTGTGGCAAAACTATTAATTTTAGCCGAAAATGTTAAATGTAAAAGTTATAGAGATTAAAAAACTGAGCAACTTTTGTGTCTGCACTATTTTCACATAACCTCCAATTTTCCTAGAAAAACCGGAAAAACTGTTTTTTTCGTTTTTTATTCTTATTTTTGCGAAAAAAGCAAACATATCTTGTTTTATGATAAAAAAGAAGATAATTTTTTGGGCCTGTAAAGTTGAACCGTTTCCAAGATCTCACGATTTCTGAAAAAAACCACCTCTTTTTCAAGGGCATGAAAAATCTATTTTTTTCATCGTACAGAGGTGCGCGTGGTAGCAAAAATTTCGGAAAGACTTATATTTTAATAAACAAAAATTAAAAAATATTATTCCTATAGCAAAAATTCGAGAAAATCGCCAAAAACTGGAAAAACAGTTTTAAGATGTACCTACGAGTACACGATTTTTGACATGATAAACCAACAATCTTTAATATTTGCTTAAATATTCTCTTTTGTTATCTTATGCTCAACTGTTTTAGTTAAAACATCTTTATTTTTTATTTTTTCTACATTTTTACCGCAATAAAAGCAATTCGAAATAAAATCCGATTATCTTGCTTCCTGATTCCTGAGCAATTTCTTTGTGTTCACTGACTCTTCTTCCTGCCTGTTTTATAGCTGATGCAATTGCGTTGGGCCTGTTGAAAACTTGCAAAATATAAGAAATATAAGAACGTTAGTTTTACCGGCCATTGACCAAAGCAAATGATTTGAGATGTAAAACTTGGAATAAACTTTATGATGATTCTATTCATCATTTCTGTAAAACGATCAACAGGGCCAGCTTAATCCCATCAGCTGTAAAACAGACAGGAATAAGAGTTTTTGAACAAAAACAAATTGTTCAGGAAGCAAAAGAATTCGATTTTACTTCGAATTTTTTTTTTATTTTATTCGTTTCTTGAATTTGATCGTTGTGGGATAAGTCATTACAATAGTAAACACAATAACAAAAGAAATAGAACATACAAATTCCAATTGGTTTATAATCTGTCATCAAAATATTCCTTAAGGGTATAATAACTTTTTTCAATTAGCATCTTTGTCACCGAGTTTTTAAAATGTGAAGCTGATAGAATGTTTTTAATGTTTCTAGGCAATTTATTACACTTTTATAGGCATGATATAACAATTTTTTGCCGACAAGGTGTATTTAATGAATTGCTTTTATTGCGGCAAAAATGCAGAAAAAAGAAATAATAAAGATGTTTTAATTAAGGCAGTTGGGCACTGGGAAATAAAAGAACATATTTTAGCAACATTAGAGAGGGGAGAGAAGACAGATTTCAAAAACTTTTTATTAGCGCGGATCCAATACGTTAATTTATTTGCAAAAAAGCTATTTACCTACTGTCAAAAACGGTATACCTTAAAACTTTTCCCTCAGTTATTGCCGCTTTTCTTAAAATTTTTCTATTGGAATAATATTTTT